AGCTCCAATATCACCCAACATTCACCACTTTTCTCAGTCTTTCCAGGCCTCAACCCTGGCCTTCTACTTCAGTCACCAAGCTCAAGACCACCTCCTGGCCCCTTTTGCCCACTCCATAGTCTCAAGCCATAATCACATTGATCAATTCATTCATTTCCTTAGCAAACATTTACTGAACATCTCCTATGTGCTCTATACCATGAAAGCCACCAGGACTATAACTGAATAATACAAACAGAATCTGTTCTCACAGGGCTATAGTTCAGCAGGAAGACAGACACTGACAATCCTCTAAGTTGTGATGAAGGCTGAGGAACTAACTACAGAGGCATGTCGGGGAGGCCTCACTGACTTTAAGTAAGGAACATCATCTCTGTCCAGAAACTTCATTCCTTTATTCTCATTTCTCCAAGCTCATCAAGAGATGAAGAACCCCTTACATCTCTTCTTTTCTCAAGGTATTAGCCCCTACCTTCTCATTCTTTCTACTGGTCTTGAATATATGAAAAATTATTATTCCTTTACTGATACTCTCAATTTTCTTAGGTTCATATTTTCTCATGCTTTACCTGGCAAACCCTGGACCCTGGATCAAACCCAGTGCCTTTTTACATGGGCTACTAAGCCCTTGAGGAGAAAAATCACTCCACCATACAGGGCCATGTTCATTATCTCCAGCCTTGTTCGACCTTCAGCTCTACTGTCCATCTTCTTCCCTGTTTCTAGGCAGCCTCGGACTTCCCCAGCATTCACTACATCAATTTCAATCTTCTCCAGCTCCTCAAGCTCACATACCTATCACTGCTCTCTCATTCTGAGTCACTTCAGAGGAAAAAGCAGAAGCCATCATTCGTTCATTCATTCATTCATTATGTTTTCTTTAATTCAAATATGTAGCACATATTAGGCAAATATGTGAGTGCCTAATATGTGCCAGGTACTGTTTTAAGGGGTAAAGGATACAGAAATGAATCAAATAACACAGAATCCCTGCCATCAAAAGCTTATGTTTTGGTGGGGCGAGAGTCCAACACTAAACATAATGCACAAGAAAATGACAGCATTTTCAAAAGGCTTATAATTATTGAGCAGGAAAGAGTGGGGAGGAATCTGGCCTGGTAGAACAGAATTAGAACAGGAGAGCTGCACTGAGTCGGGTGGTCAGGGTGCGCCTCAGTGAGAAGGTGAGATTTGAGCACAGACTTGAAGTCAGGGAGAGTTGGGTAGGTATACAGGGAAGGGACTGCCAGTGAAAAGGCACTATGCTGGGAGCACGTCTATCACACGGGAGGAAGAGCAGTAAGCAAGGGAGGCAGGCAACAAGGTCAGACAGGATCTGAGGCAGAAGATAATGGGGCTTGTGGGCTTTTTAAGGATTTGGCTTTTACGAAAAGAAACGAATTGGAACTGTAGGAGGGTCTGAACAGAGGAATTGGATAGGAACTCCGTCAACATACTGCCACCTCGCCCACTTCAAATTCATCTGCACCACTTTGTATTGCATCTTCCCCAGTGTTTCAGTGAAAAAGTTATTCCTTTTCTAGGCTGCTCCACTTCTGTTTTGGATTTGTGCTATTGCTGTCCCATCAGGGACTTCTCTCTATCAATTATCCCCCTGCTTGCCCGTACCTCTAACCTCTACCTGTTGAGTTTGTGTCAGCAGTATGAAACCACCTTGACTTCCTAAGTGCCATCCCTCTCTCTGATGAATTTCCTTTCCTTGCCTTCTTTTTACCACTATATACTTGAAAGACATTTTTCTCTTCTCCATTTTCACTCCCCCACCTTATTCATGAAGTCATCTATTTGTTAAATAAACTATGAGCATATACTATCTGCTAAGAGCTATACTACATACACAGAAGTTGGTCATGTGGTCCATCAGGGCCAAGGATAAGCAATGTTCACCCATCTACTGAAATTGCTACAAGCTAACCCACTGATGCTTGTAATTTTTTTAATTTTAAATTTTGACATAATTTGAAACTTACAGGAAAGTTGCAAGAACAGCACAAAAACTTCCCAGATATCCTTCATCCAAATTACCCAAGATGTTATTATTAGCTTTATCCCTGATTTTCTGTGTGTGTGTGTGTGTGTGTGTGTGTGTGTGTGTGTGTGAATGAAAACACATATATACCTTACATTCTGTTGGAGTTTTGTGTATAACGTCTTTTTACTCATAAATATTTCTATGTATATTTCTTAAAAACAAAACATTCTTTTACCACAGCACAGTTATCAAAATCAGGAAAAACAGTGATAGTGATGCAGTACTATTTTCCATAGATATTTTCAAAAAAATTAATTATCTCTTTGTAGCACATAATTTTTAACTTGGACTTTAAAAGTGTTACTTTTTAAAAGTATAAATGTTTTATATATATATATGTATACATACATATGTGTGTGTGTGTGTGTATATATATATATATATATATACACAATGTAAAAAATTTGAAAATAAGACAAAAGTAGAAGGAATAACATTCAAATTGTATTCCACCACTCAGAGATAATCACGTTAATTTTTAGACCCATATACACAGGCCCTTATATGTACATACAGGTGCCCTTTTAAAAAAGCAATACTGTGAGTATACTGAAAATATGACTCTTTCATAACATGTTTTCTCTTAATGTAGTTAACATTTTCTCAAGACATAGTTTAACAAATAATTCTCAAGAGCTGTGTACAAATCCATCATGTTGACAGTGCTTCCTTAAAATTCTATCCTGCCTTTGCTTCCAGTTCAACACTCTTATTTTTTTGTTTGTTTCTGTTTTGAGACGGGTCTCACTCTGCTGCCCAGGTTGAAGTGTAGTGGTGCAATCATAGTTGACTGCAACCTTGAACTCCTGGGCTAAAGTGATCTTCCAGTCTCAGCCTCCTTAGTAGCTGGGACCACAGGCGCATGCCACCATGCCCAGCTAATTCTTTGAAAATTATTTTTTGTAGAGATAGGTCTCCTTATGTTGTCCAGGCTGGCCTCCAACTCCTAGGCTCAAGTGATTCTCCTGCCCCTGAATCCCAAAGTGCCAGAATTAACACATGTGAGCCACTATGCCTTGCCAAGACTGTTGCTTTATCTCGAATTACTTGTTTTCATTTGATCCTCAGCCCATGTCATATATATTAGCTTTCCGTGAGTTCTGTCTTCAACCTTGCTTACCTTACTAGCTTTACCTCCCTGTGCACTTTTAAATTTCCCATACCAAATCTTCCCTGAGCTCCAAATCCTCATATACTTGGCATCTGCAGGTGGATGTTGCCTTATAGTCAACATGCACAAAACCGAGGTTCCTGTCTTTCTCTGTCAACTAACTGTGCTCCTCTTCCATTTCCTAGCTCTCAACTTCTTTCTCTGCCTCATTTACCCCTATAGCCATTGGTCACTGACCACTGTAAATTCTACTTCGTAAGTTAAATGCACCAAATCCATCACCTTCCCATACCCATTGCCAGTGCTTTATCTCAGGTGTTCATTGTTTCTTGCTCAAATTAATACAAAAAAAAAAATCTCTACCTGATTTTTCCACTTCAGCTCACCTGCCCCCAATTCATCCTGCCACTGTGGCCATAATCCTGTCTTATGAATATGATCATGCAACCCCCTTCCTCTGATGCCTCCCATTACACTCAGGAGAAAACACAAATTCCATGCAGCTCAAACAGGCCACTTTAGACTCTGGCCCCTGCCTCCCTCTGCAACATGCCCTCACTCTCACACTGTACACACACCAGGAACCCTGAACCATTAACATTTCCCCAAAGCTCCATGCCATCTGCGCCGCTATCTCCTCCCACGGAGTGTCCATATGTCCAGCATCTCCCTACCAGTGCTTTTTCCTACTCACTTTTTAAGATTGAGTATCTACTCCAAGACACCTTCCATGATCACCCCACCCCAACCTGGTTTCCACTAGGTCCCTTCCTGGGTGTTCTTTGGACTCTCTGAGCTTCCCTCTGCATTATCAAACTCTACTGTAGTGATCTGGTCTCACCGCATTAAGCCCTGCATCAGGACCATTTTAAGACACCTATGAATTCACAATGGCACCAACTATATTACCTGGCAAAAGTCAAATTCTAATAAATCCTTTAGGAAAGAAAAAGCGGATATTTTACCCTTTGTTATTTTGTATTGCTTTCACCTGGTATCATTAGTATCAAAGTTGTATGTTTGCCTTTTAATTTTGTATTTATAATTCCTTTTTGTGGTGGTATGTATTAAATAAACGATCCTGAGAGCCTGAGTAAATACATTACAACTTTACAGAATTATAGCATTTCCAATTGAGAGGTGCTAAAATTATAGCAAAAAATATATAAGCAGTCAAAATTCTAAGAATGACCTCTGAGAGAAATAATTTCTAAAGGAAATACTCCAAATTGGGCTGGGTGACGTGGCAAATATATAATCACATTCTCACAGTCACCTGATAATCACAGTCACTTTCTTATCAGTGATTTCATGATGACAGTCGTGAAACTTGAATATTTTGTTTATTGGAGGCAGGTTTTATTAATGTGAAAGAGATTAACACTAACTGAAGAACTTAATGCTGCTTTACAGAGTCTATTTAATTTAGATCTATAGTTGATATGACAGTTACTGAGCAAGATGGCTTGGCGAGTCTGCTTAGAAGTGTAGAGCACCAAATTTTGCCTAACCAAATTTGAAGGCCTGGAAAAATAATACACCTAAGAGAGAATGGAGAAGGAGTCTTCAGCATGATAAAGATAATTAGAAGAAAAATGCAGGAGAATAAAACCCTTTTTATCCCCTTTACTGGATACCAATATTTTCGGCAAGCACTTCTTCACAATGAATAAAAACAGAATTGGTAATATGTGACTCTGAGCAAAGCTATTTTCTATGTATATATGCCCACACATATACACATATACATACATACGTACACAGAGACATTTATATGAATAAACTAGGAAAAATAACACTTTGTATTGATGTGAAAATCTAATAGTTATTCCTTACCTGAACCTGAGAAATTGTCTAAAGACCCGTCTGCTGTCGTTGAAGCTGTTTCACTGCTGCTCATTGGCTCTGTTTTAACTACAAAAATAAACAACATATGTCGATATTGAATAATTTTTTGTAAAGACGTGGAAGAGAAGATATGACATTCAGAGTAATGACAAGAAAATCAAAAAAACAAGTTTTGCCTAAATGAACATAAATCATAACATAAATAGCCTCCTTTTAAAAAACACTCATATATTAAGTTCTTTCCCCTTAGGAAGCAATCTATTGTCGAAAGTTACTCTTCAAAAGCAGCACTTTAAAAGTAGTTAATTTCATCATTGCCTTACATATTTACTGAATTATTAATAATTAAATCACCTCTCAAAATCTACATGATGTGATATGAAATTATTTCCTGGGGTTGTGGAAAAATCTGTTACTTGGTCAAACAGAGTCAAGAGGATAGAACAGAAAGATGTGAGGAAGTGGGAAGGAAGTGGGCGTCAACACCAGCAGCTCTTCCTGATGCTCAAGGGAAGCATCCCCCCTACCACATACACACTTACTTTCTGGTTTCTCCAGCATGGCTAAAAAACAGAGGGCTCGATTTAATGCACCATCATCACCACCCAACCATATCTGACTGCCAATTCATCAATATTTTACATATGCTTCATACCAAAAACATACTAAATCTAAATGAGCAGAAACAAAATTTTCTATTTCAAAATAATATTGATAGCAGACAGTTCATGAAATACATACATGATCTTTGGTCAAGTCCCTTTGTGCTGTGGGATAACTTTTGGATTTATGTTATAGATTCTCTAAAGCAATCTACTCCCCTGATAGGGTGACAGTATTATTGTGCCCCTACCAAACAGATATAGTTTTATATATATATATATATATATATATATATATATATATATACACACACACACACATATACATCAACAATGCTACCTTGTCATTAAAATAAATATATATAAATAAATATAAATATATATAATATATATTTATATTATATTCATATATAATATATATTTATATGTTATATATTTATATATAATATATAATTTAATAATTAGTAATATATTTATATTATATATATGTATTTATATATTATATATTATAAATAAATATAATACATATTTATACTATAATATATAATATAAATATATAAATAATATAAATAAATATATTTATTTATTTATTTTAATGATGAGATAGCATTGTTGTTTTCCTTAGAAACTACTGGTGAGTGCCATCATCAGAATTCGCCTACCCTGCTTTGTGGAAGGTCTTTATTCCCTAGTAACAGATTTTCAGAAAGAGTGCAGTAAGATTTTAAGGGATACCTAAACATCAGTGACATGCTTCCTAAAACAAAGGCTCCCACAAGAGAATATTTGGGGAGGACTCTCTTATAAAGTAAATACATTGGGAAGTGGGAAAAGATGATGGAGAAAATGCAGCTTTTCCTTCTCTCAACATCACCAGTCTGTTATAAACACCAGGAAAAGGACAAATTCTCACAACTTCTGGATCTTCAAATACTCTACCAATGCATAATGAGTAGTTTTAAAATAAGCATTATAAACACACACATCAGATGGTCACTTTTTTAAAAAAATAATTATTCAGATGACTTCTAAACAATCTTCGGAAGACAACAATAACCGTGAGGCTAATGGAAATCACTCTGTTTGATTGTTTTAATGTAAACCAAACCATGGTGTAACTGAAGTTGTAACTGAAGTTTTCACTTTTCTGGCAGTTGTTTTGGGTTTAGAAGTCTTTGTTGATGCTAAAAAAATTCTGACATAAGCCTGTATTTCCCTTCTCTCTCTATGCCACCAGACAACCTAATGATTTTGCTTTTCATCACCATTACATCGTTTCAGAAAAGGCTGATACTGCACAGCTTCCAAGTTTCCTACTTAGCTGTCCACATCATGCCTTACCTCCTTAAAAAACGCACACACAAAAAAATCTCATATAATGCCCCATACACATAAAGCAATCGTTCTATTTCACTCTCTGCCAGACAGATCACCACTTGAGATTCTGAACTCAGTATCAAATACATGCTAAGCAAAAGATTAGAATTAGGTGCCATGGAAACAGGTCTTGTAAAGTGTCTACTGTGGGTCAGTTATTTACAGACAGCATAATTCATCCTTTTAAACAACTCTACAAATAGGTCTCAGAATAGACAAACTCTCTTGTCAGTATTATCTTCTTGTTTCCCAAGCACACATTAAAACCAGAGAAGTCACCCAAAGACCCACAGTAAGGAGTAGAAATAAGATTTCATTTGGGAAGTTTTGACTCCAAGGCCCCTGACTAAAGCTTGAAGAAATGGTATTAAGTGAGATTTTTCAATAGTATAAGCTACTCCACAACAAGGCTGCTGGGGCACAGTGCCACACACTGGGGAGAGAGTGGAAAGCAAAGTCCCTGCCCTCCTACAGTCTTAGGGCTCCCAGCTTAGTGAACTTGCTGTAAGTTCTCACATAGAAGTTTCATGCCCAACTGTCAGGAAACAATGTGAAGAAAAAATGGTTCCACTGTGTGAGATGTCAATCAAGATTACTTCCAAGTCTTTGTCAAATCTAAGGTCTATGAGTCAACAGATTCTGTAGATGGAATTACTTTGTGAAAGCTTAACTATACCAAAACCACTCCTATTCCTGTACCCCTAAAAGTGACACCAGCTAGTCTCCATATGATTAGCTTAATCGAATGCAGCCCTCACTCCCAAGAGGCACATTTAATTATACTTGAAATCCATTAAAACTAGGCAAAAAGATTAGAAAGGAAAGGAAGAGGATACTTTTGGGCCCCAATAACACTGCTTTTCACCATTGTTCAAACATACCCATCTATACACTAAGGAATAAAGACTCCCTTTTCCCAATGAACCCAGTTTTTTAAAAGGCTCACTGTTGAGGAGAAGAGGATGTACATAAAATAAGTACCAGGACATTCATGATTTTATCAAGTACTGTAATTGAATACTTTGATCACTAGGGACCCCATGCTAAAGACTGGTGATTTATTGTAATGTAAAATAGTTTCTGAACGAAAGCCAAAGAAACAGAGACTACTTCTGGCTTGGTTATAGCCAGACATACACCCACCAGAGAGGTAAAAAGACAAGAATAATCTCTGGCCACCAAAATTGTATCCATCTCATTCTCACTAGCAGCACCACATTTATAAATATGCTGTAGATGACGTAATAGAGCATCTCTCCAAGGCTTTGAATTTAAAAACATACACTGAGTTTTCTTGGTCTTAGAGGTTTTAAGGTACTGTAACATCTGAGAACAACTATCCCATCTAAGCCACCCATCTACAAAGGAAAAACTATGAATGATCTCTTCACCTCTAAATAACAAGAATTAGTTTATCTCCACCAAACTACTCATTGTATGACTCTAGTCTATTAGAAAACAGCAAATTTTGTTCTCTTTTGTCACCACATGAGCCTCTTTTTCTACTACTCTAAGTTCCCAATCTTCCATGTGATCCTTAAAAATCTATTCCTCCTTTAAAAATATGCAAAAAATGCCCTTTATCCCTTATATCTCCCTGTTCTACCAACTCCTTCACTTGGCCATTCACTCTAGGCCTGAGCAATGCTGGGAAACTTGCTACTCTCTAGACATGACACAGTCATCTCTCCATCAATGCCTTTGAGCTTTAGTCTTCAAGTCAGAGAATCTAGTTACCTGCTATAAGGCTTTCTAAAGTTATTTAATCTCCTTGATCCTAATTATCTCCATGTAAAAATTTTTAAAAATTATATCTACATTACAAGAATAAAATAAGAACTTATTAAAATGTATATAAAGTACCTGGTTTAAAGTAGGAGCTAAAACTATATTCATCACCATTAAAAGCAGCAGTAGCAATATTCTATCTCTGATGGGCTGAATGCCTTCCTCCTTTCTCCTAGGGAAAAATACCAGCAGCGATATTTAATAAACAGTTATAAGCACCAGCTTTGGAATTATCAGTTGAATTTCAGTCTAGCTTTGCATTTAGCTGTATGAATCTGGAGGTTAGTTAACTTCTGTATGCCTCGGCTTCCTCATCTGTAAGTGTGGGTGAATACTAAGGTGAGGGTAAAAAAGGATAAATGCTTCGAAATCATTCCGCACTGTGTTAAGTCCAGGGCCCATGCTTTTATAGTCACTCCATCACCATAGTGTCTCTTTACGACAAATCAAAGCTTTTCTTAAGATACAGATAACTGGGTTCCAAATGTACCATGAACTTCACAGTAAAGTTAAGCTGCCCTTTTAAAAGAAAGTTAGAAGAATCCAAAGTGAAGGGATGTGTCTAAGATCAGCCATGAGGCTACCCTTCAAGGCAGCCAAAATCAAGCAAGGTAACTTGGAAATAACTCCAGAAGGCAGGACCTTCACATATAGAAAGAAAGACAATTTGATTAGAAAATAACCAAATTGTGGTTATAAGAAAAAAACTTATTTATTGGTCATTACAAGGCAGTGTATACTTTCTGAAGAAAGAGGCTAAAAGGAGACTGGCGTATACGGCAATTGTGATCAAGAATTCCAGGAGAAAATGTAGCCATCTTTTTCTGGCATTCTTTAGGGGAGGCTGGCCCATAATAATGAGAAACCCATCTTTCCTCATCATAAATTTTAGTGTGGATTCATCTATCAGACCATTGGAGCTTGGTGACATAAGCTATCAATATCATGCCACTAACCCATCACATCATGATTACATGCTCATCAAGCAACTTCTGGTTATACTTTGAAGGTTGCAGTCATGCAGACTTCTGCAGATGCAGAAGATGACAGACTGTTCAGAAGAAACAAATATTCAGTCCATTAAATTTGTTATATTTTTTCACCATAAATTAAGTGGGCTGTTTTAAAGCAAGTTTACCCACAAAGGACAGTTCTGCCTGCTGTACTAAGAGCCAGCCTGTGTATCATAAAGAATTCACACTGCAACATGAAGGGAAGTCAGCAGCCTGGGCAAGCTGCAGTCCCTCCCAAGCAGCATCTAAGCTCGTCTTACCACTTTTCTCAAACTGTTAGAATAAG